TCACTTATAATTTAAATACTTCGTTTCCAAAGGAAGCCAAACACCAACTCACTCCTGACATTTTTTTTTTTTTATTGTTCTATTAAAGGCAGCAACATTCTCCTAGCAAGCAAATTCCTATGAGTCAACTTTGAATCTTGTCTTTCCCTCCTCTTGCCCATATTCAAAAATGGCATGTCCTAGGCTTTCTACCTCTTTCTCCATTTATCTTGTGCTCATTGTCTTCTTTCCTTTCTCATTCTCCTAATTCTAATTCAAGCCTTCAATAATTCCTCTGTCTTTCACATTTTCTGATAAGCATTGAAATAACATAGATAGTACTCCAAGTGGCTATAAGGAAAACAGCCATCCTTATTGAAAAACATTACTGTAATCAGTTACACAAAATGAGGCTGAGAATATAAATAATTTCCAGAAGAAAGGACTGCATAAATGTGTATATGATGTCTGCACAAGTTACCAGACACAAAGGAAAGTTGCTAAACCTTGAATTACCTCTTAAAATACATTAGAGAAAATCAAAACATCTCATTTATACCATCACTGGCGAATCCAGCACAAGTTGTTTTTGCTTTAATTATTCATCACATCAGAATATTATGAAAATATTCTGAGAATATTAGATTGGAGATGGGACAAAGATGGGGGAGTAAATTTTCTAGAAAAAAAAAAACAACACAAAAACAGAGGAAAGATGCTGGAAAATAAATAACAAAGGGAGACATCTACAACCAACAGAGGCCTCAAAGCAAGAACTCTAAAACTTTTGTTAAATGAATAATAAGAAAAGGAAAGCCTAAATATTTTTGATTTAATCCAATATATGATGCAAAATCTTTGATAACCTTCCAGGAATTTTCTGGAATGGCATGAGTAAAAAACGGAAATCACTTTTTCAATATATTTAGCAAGGAAGAAGAATACCTGTCTTCTAGTCCCATCCTGAGCTGTTATGTGGCCCCAAGCAGTCAAATAAATCTGTATTTATCTGTAAAATGAAGGTAATTATTCCTACCAACCTCACAGCAATATTGAAAAGATAAATGATATCACCCGAAAGTGCTTTAAGAATGATTAAGTATTTTGCAATTGTTGGGAATTTATTTTATTTTTATTTTCAGGAATTAAGGAGATAAAATTAATTAATAAAAGGTACTTTTTTCTAAATAATGCAGAGACATGCTATGAGGCAGACATTTAGACATCATTACAATTATTTGGAGAAGGACCTGTCAGATGTTGCATGACTCCTGTTGCTCAGAAGTTTACAATAAGCAGTAGCCTGTTTAGAGCCTGTATAAATGTGATTATATAAAAGAAACTGAAAAGAGACCAAAATCGTATTAAGGGTATTCTAAAAATGTAAGTTAGTCCCAGTAATTCAGTATTTTGAGAATGAAAATAAGAGTTTCTTCTACCACTGTTCTCCACCCCAAAGAGTTCCAGGGATAGTTGAAGCACCATTCTGTAAAAAGTGCAAGGAGTCCACCTACACTGACCATCATAATCTTAACTTTAGTGGTCAGTTGGACCCTATTTATTCCTATTCATCTCCCTCAGGTCTTTAGGAAGGCATCCAAACAATTACTGAGAATGAATGTACGTGGAAATTGACCTTACATCATTTCCTTGTCTATGAACGTAGGCATGTATATAAAATAAACTATGGAAAATAGGTGGTTTGATTCTAGTTTAAATTTGAACTCCCCTCCCCCCGCCCCATGAGTGACATGGCAAAAATCCATCTTGGTTACAATAAGATTCTCTTCTTTTCTATCTTGGTTCTGAATCACCTGCTGTTGGAACCTCTTCCATGGCCTGGGCTGAAACAAAGCATAAGAACACTCGCAATCTTCCATCAGAGCTTTCATGCTCTCCTCAGTCAGGTAGCTATAAGCCAGCTCTACCGACCTGCACACTGGCCAGATCATGGCTAATAAGAGCAAGCCCCATCAACTCAAGCTCCGCTTGCAACGCTGAGGACACACCTCATTTCCCTTTGGCTTTTTCTCAAGTCTTAGGAAGGTACATTACTCCAGACTCATGCTTTGTTCCCCATTTTTGGTCCTGATTCTATCCACTGGACTTGAAGCTTCATCTTAATTTCTTCAGGTTATCTTTTGTTTCACTCCGTGATCTTTGGCTTATAATTACCATCTGGCTTTTTCTGCCATCCATTTGAAACTGCTGGAAACAAGCTAAGGGAATATTTCAAAACGACAACACTAACAAATCTGAGCTTGACTTAGATCTCAATATCAGTGGAGGAGACCATACTGTTTACATCTGCCGTGATCTCGATCTACTCTAATCCACTGTACCCACCAGCACCAGGGTGTGGACCATCCTACCGAAAGGAACCTCAGAACAAGAAAACAAATGCTGTGAATATCTTTCAGCAAATTAGTCCTTAATTAAGTCTCAATGCTGACAACAGTGAATCCAAATGAACAAGAATTGAAACACTATCTCTAGAGCAAATCCCCAGTCATGGACAATAATTTCTCAAAATACATCTTTAAACATAATTGCCATTCAATTATTGTATGGCTCTTCTGGTACTGTTTATATTAGCTAATGTACAAATGTGGGCAATTCAGAGAACAAAAGGTTCACTCTCTTTTTATTCATCTTCTGTAAAATACTTGGTATAGTTCCATAGTCATCCCAAATTAAACATTAGTCTGTCTTTCTCCTATACCGCAGAGGCTTAGAAGAGTCCTGAATTTTTTCAGGGGCTTTTATTTTCTTCTTCCATACCATATGTCTCACTCAGGGCTCTTCATTCTTTACTTTATTTTATCCTCATACTAATCATATGAAATAGGTATTATATTCTCTTTTTAAGAGGGTTTAAGTGATTGGTCCAAGATCAGATGGATGGCATGTGATCAAACCAGCATTTGAACCCTGATCCTTCTACCATCAGGATCTGTGTTTTTTCATTATACTAGTCTACTTTTGACAAAGAGTGGAATTCTGCTTTGTGAAAAGGGTTTTCACAATAAGCAGAAATGAGATATTAAACTATTAGAAGACATGGAGGCACCTTAAATACATATTACTAAGTGAAAAAAGCCAATCTGAAAAAGGCTCCACACAGTATGAGTTCAACTATATGACATTCTGAAAAAGTCAAAACTATGGAGACAGTTAAAAGATTGGTGGTTGTTAGAGATTAGGGGAGAAGCAGGGATAAAAAGGCAGAGAACAGAGTTTTTTAGGGCAATGAAACTATTCTGAATGATACTAAAATTGTAGATACATATCATTATACATTTGTCAAAACCCATAGGATTTAAAACACCAAGAGTGAACCCTAATGTAAACTCTGGACTTTGGATGATAATGATGTGTCAGTGTAGGTTCATCAATTGCAACAAATGCACCAGTCTGGTAGGATTTTGATAGTAGGGGAGATTGTACATATTTAGGGACAAGAATTATATAAGGACACTGTACTTTCTGCTCAATATTGCCATAAACCTAAAACTTCTCTAAAAAATAATATCTATTAACAACAACAAAAAAAGATTTCACCACCAGATAATAGACATAAAGGACTTTATGGTACTTCACACCTTGCTCCAATTTCTACCTGTAACACTTAGGATATTATAGAGAAAACAAACCAAATCAGTGAAAACTAAGCCAATAGAATAAGATACTTGAAAAAGTAGATACCCTAAAGCATCCCATTCAGTCTCTATTTCTCTTTCTCCTTCCTGTCATCTATTTGGTCAGCCTTTTTGTTGTTTTGCCTATTTTGTCCCCATCACACAACCTCTATATCCAGGATCAAAAAAAGAAAAACAAAACTTTTTCACAGTACTTTTAGTATTTATTGTTCCAATTACTATTGCTGCCAAAATGTACTGTTGTAAAACAACTATTTATTATTCTCATGGATTCTGTGGGTTAAGAATTCAGACAGGAAACAATAAGAATGACTTGCCTATGATTCTTCAGGCCTCAGCTGGGAAGACTCCAAGACTGGGCTGACTCAACAGCTAGGGGCTGGAATCATTTGGAGGCATTTTAATTCAGATACCCGCGTGTTGATGCTGGATATCGGCTGGGACCTCAGCCATCCAGGCAGCCAGATGGGTTCTCTATTGGTCTTTCATGTGAGCTAGTTTGGGCTTCCAAGTTTGGGCATGGTAACTGTGTTCCAAGAGGGAGCATCCCAAAAGAAGAAGAAAGAAGTGCATGACAGTTTTATGATCTAGCCTTGGAAGTCACATAGCGTCACTTCTACCATATTCTATTAATCTAAGCAGCCATAAAGTTCTACCCAGGTCCAAGAGAAAGGGCCATGGACCCAAACCACTGCATTAGAGGTGTGTCAAGGTCTCATTGTAAGCACATGTGGAATGGAAATGTTGTTATAGCCATTTGAGAAAATACAGTCTACCACAGTAACTCTTGTTGTATCTTATTGCATCTTAAATACCTAGGTAGATATTGAATTTGAATGCTTAGACATTGTTCCACATCTTTATTTGTATCTATGTATTTCAGATTATAAACCACATAATGGCAGGGATAGCTATGTTGAGTTAATTTTTATGAGCTCCACCACAGCACCTTGTACTTGACAATCACAGTCTATAGTATTATTACTAGTGCTGCAATTGCTGGTAGATACATGCACTTGAGACACCATTATTTTTTACATTTGGAATGTATTGCAGAAAATCTCCACTCTAACCAAAAAGACGTATAGCATATTTAATGTGCAAGTTAATTTTATTACTACAATTAGGTTTTGGTAGCTCAGGAGCATATAAATTCTTCTCTCACTTGTAAAGCAAAAATTGAATCTCACAGTCGAGGGGGAAAAATCACTACCTTGAGGGAACTATCTTTTTTTCTTCCACAATTAGTCACTTTTGGTTTACTAGATTATTAAAAGGTTTGTATTAGGAATCTGTGTGAGACCGTGATCATGACTGTTTATCTCTTCTGAAAAGTTAATTAAGGCAATTATCCCTTTTCAGTTGATTTCATAGGCGGCTTTGATTCTTATGGCTATCAAGGGCCTCAGAAGACATCTCATTTACAACTACAGCCTATGTACATGTAAGTACTTTACTTGGGAGGTATTCTTCTGGGATACTAAAAGATGGTTAAGTAAACATTCTTATGTTTACTTACAACATAGATAGCATGCAACATTCTTTCAGTTATATACTTTTAATATTTTCTATTCATATTGTTTCGACTAGGATAATTCTAAAAACATTTTCTTCATAATTTTTTAAAAATTTAATTTATCAGAAATGCCATATTTAAAGTTACCTTTAGTCCTATATAAGTATCAACTACATGGCTAAAAAAAAAACCTATATAATATGCTACTCTTTTGAATTACCCAAAAGTTGTATATTTTGAAAAAGATATAACATTGTAGGTAGTTATATGTAACTATATGTAAACCATATGTTTTGGTTTTCCCAGGATAGTCTCGGTTTACTCGGGTTGTCCTGGTGTAATTATTACCAGCAATCCCTATTACTTTCAAAAATGTTCTCATTTGGATAATAAATGACAGGTTATCACTCTAGTTATATATAGTGTTTAAAAAATCAAAAACTAAATAATACTCTTTCTCTATCATTTTTCTGATATCAAAAGTGAAAATGAAACCAGAATATTAACACTGAAGCTTATCAGACTCTTAACTCTAGCACTCAAAAGAGCAGACATACAATCAGAGCCTGATTTTTATATCTGTGTTTAGGCAAATTCCCTTGGATAACAACTGATAACAAATTCTATATATCAGCATCAAGTGATATGCTGAATTGCAAGCGAAGATCAAAATAGAAAGTAAGATTCCAATTCATTTTGAAATGTGAGCTTCTCTCTTTGAAGATATGTGTTTGTCGTCATTGTCCTCCACCATTGAATCATTTTACCTTTTATTATTGTTAGTGTGTAGGATAATAAATGGAATTTTGGAGTATTTCTCTAGAGAGATTAAAGTAATCTTTATACAGACCTGTTAAGCTTCCTTTTAGAAAGGAAATGATCTGTGCATCATGCCTGCATTTTTCTTTGTATCTCTTGGAGATCCCCGGAAGCATCTGGTAACACCACTCATAAAAAAGACTTTATCAGTTCAGATATCAGGCTGTACCACCTGTCATTCAGAGCACTCCCTCTGTAAACACTACATCACACATCCCCTCTTTTACATCTACAACCACTGCCCTAACTCTGGCATTCGTGACCTTAAGTTTTCCATTCTCTTTCTTGTTTTAGAACTCCTTTCCCATCTTCCATATGGCTACCTAATTAATCTTCTTAAAGTACCACTCCGATCATTTTACTCCCCTGCCCCCAAACTATTAGCAATACCTATTATCTACTGAACAAAATCAAAGTTCCTTACTGTAGCCTGAAAGTCTACTCTGATATGGCCCCAATGTTTTGTTAAACTATTATCTCTTCTGATATGCAGATGATGCTAGGACAGTCTAGGAAAATGTAATGATGAATAAGAACTGGCCCCTGTCTTCTGGAAGCTTATAATCTATTGAAGGCATAAATAGTTTGATATTTTCCTTGAGGTCACATTTTTCAGCCAAACTAGAACTGTTGCCTTCTGCAAATATGACTGGTATTTTCCCAATTGTCCATGCCGTTCTCTTGATATAAACATCTTTTCTTCCAAATTCCACTCTTTGAACCTCTACTAACTTTCAAATTATATCTTAAAATATATTTCCTTTATGAAATATTTCCTAATCTCCTTTCCTCTGTTAATTCTTTTTTCTTTTGCCCTGTACTACAGTTGTTTTCTATTTCCACCATAACTTTCTTATCTTCCCAGAATGACTTGATACTTAAACAAAAAATAAAATGATAAATCTTTTAACTGTTTTACCATTCTTCTCAATATTGTATCATAGCCTTATGTAAAGTATTCTATTAACAAATAAAGGCAAGTGGTAAGGAATAGTGGTTAAGTAGACCTACTGAAGACAGATGGCCTGAGATAAAATTTCTTATGACCTAGGACATATAACTTTATTTGAATAACTTTATTTATTCTCACGAAGCCTAAATCTCCTTGCCTAAAAAATAAAGATAACATACATACTTCATATAATTGTTCTGAATATATATGAAATAATGCATGTAAAACATATAAAGCATAGGACGTGTCACATAATAAGTGCTTAATAAACATGTTACTAGTAGTAGAGACAATGCTTATGTTAACCAATATTACTCATGAAAAGACTTTATCAAGTCAGAAATCATCAGTATATATCAGAAATATACTGTATTTTATTCCCAAAGAATTTCCTCTGTAAATAATATATCTAAGATAATAGTGGCCCAAGTAGCATGTAACAATATGTTTGTGCTCACATGTAAACCAGGACAAGTACAATCGCTTGCTTCTGACAATATCACATAACATTTTTATCATACAGCATTTCATTGCGCTGATCAATAGGAATGATCAATAAATATAATCAAGCTATACAATAAATTGGATATAACCACTTATATAAGGATCGGCTATAATAATAACATAAGAATGCTACTTATACGTAATCAAGTATATTATTTCAAATCAGGCATTTATAATTCTAATGCTGTCTTTAAAGAGAAGACTCTGCAGATTTAGTATCCAGCATTAAATTCCTTGAGGACAAAACTTCCCGTGATTTTATTAAATAGAATACTTTAAATGCTAAACCAAAAGCAATAAAAATATTGTTTTCTTTTTTACTGCAAGGGAATGGTAAAATTATATAAGAGCTTGCAAGTCTTACTGCTGATGAAATGAGTTACATGTTTAATGGAATTCAAATTTAAGAAGTTAAAAATACTTAGGATATATAACAAATCATCAGTCAAAATATGACTACCACCCCTTCCACAAAACCTCCCTTAGGGGCTTCAAATACTAAAACATGAAGATTTTATTTTACAGATGAAAATATTGAGTCAAGAGAAAGGAAAACAAGGTCACATGACTTGTCGGTTGTACAGCCCCAATTATCAACCAGTTTTTCTGACCACTTAGTTCTTTCCAAATTCTTGGACAGACTGTGAGTTTACTCTACCATTAAATTCCCTGATTCTTAATTTACTTATTTGTACCTCTTCACACTAACTTAGCTGCCATGCTTCCATTCATGCCTGCACCCCACCCCCTTTTCTGCATTTTTTTAAAATTCCCTTTTGATTTCACATTATGCAGTGTTGAAGGAAGAAGGGCTTTTTCAACTTTGTAGACTTCAAAATCAATTACTGGAGAGCTGCTGCCTACTCAAATCCCATGAAAAAACAAAACCGATTCTCACATAAACTTTATCCCCTGCTGAGCTGCGGAGACCTGAGCATCTCCTATCTTTGTATTTCAAGGTGTACCTTCTGTCAACCTACCATAAATAAGTCTCATAAAGTAAGAGTAATTTAACATCATGGGCCAGTTCAAGCACTCTAATGATATTGTATAGCAACTGGAAGTAAAAGCTGTTCCTTAGAAGTAGAGCAAATGCTTAAAAGCAATGTGCAATTTTAGCTGTGGGGCTTCCATTATCACCAGCAAAGCTTCTGTAGCAGAGAGCCTGGTCAGAGCTTTGAAAACTGCCTAACTGACTTTCATTCACAGCCGTGTTTCTGCTCCCACAGTCAGTAACTAGAAAGTCCTTTTTTTTTTTTATGTGCATTTGGTAAATGTTCTTGGCCTATAATTCTTCAGATTAACTATAATCCATCTAGAAAGGAAAAGTTTTCATTAATTTTTTTCTTATAGTTTGGTAAACCTCCTTGAAACCAACATAGCTATGAAGTTGCTGCACAAAAATATTCCCATTTCCTAACAAAGTAGCTACTTTGACTACCAGTGACCACTATGCCGTAATACGTAGAGATTTGGTTGGGCTCCCTGCAGTACAAACTGTAAGAATGTCCCATGGTCTGTTAGACAACATTTGAAAACATCGCCCTCTTTCTGGCAGCCTAATTGTACAGCAATACCTATTCATTTCATTTGTCCTTATAAATGGATTTTAAATCACCATAAGTGGCCTTTCTATCCGGGAGGTTGCACTGAGAAAAAAAGAAAAAGAGAAGAAAATTGTCTATTTAAAGCGCAACTGGGCTTGGATGTCTTTTTTTTTTTTTTTTTTTTGGCTTGCTCTTGTGCTTATAGAGGTGAGAAAAGGTGCTGAGCTTTCCCCCTTTGATTAAAAACATCTTTTCTCTCTCTCTCTCTCTCTCTCAGGTCGAAATGATACAGATGGCTTTAGTATGTCAGCTCCAGGACCTTTCAAAAAACTTGTTTTGCAGTGGCCTCCTGCATTTATGAAGAGCAAGAAGCAACTGAGTTTAAATGTCTATATATATTAACAAAATAAACACAAACACTAGGCCACATACACTAGGTCACACACACACACACACACACACACACACACACACACACACACCAATTTTACTTGGCCTCATTTTTCTAATTGAAACAAACAAATATGCAGGACACGCCCAACTTGGATTTCCTGAAAAGCAGGCTTCTTTCTCCCAGGCCTTTGTAAAGTTTAAAGGAGATGTGTGGGTGCCCTCTGCTGGCTATCACTAACACCTCTGTAAACCAGCCGGTGGGCTTCTGCAAGCTGCAAAGTCATCCAGGGCACAGTAGCCTGAGAGTCCTGTCTTCTGCACTCCATAGTCTTGATAGCACCACGGCTATGTAGGCAACATAATTACAAAAACAAACAAACAAAACATCCATGATGACCTTGAAACTGAACTCTGAAATGGCAGGTTGTTTGCCCTAAAGGCTGTACCGTACATACTTGCCTTAACCCACCTAAGTTGTGTGCCCAAGAATCTCAGTGCAGACATCCCTAAGTCACTTCCTTTAGGCTAACACGCTGCTAATAATTCCGAATGAGTTCGAGTCTGTGTGTTTTAAGTCAAGAAATAAGACTGAATAACCCAGCAGCTCCAGTGTGTCTGTGTACGAAAACTGCCAGCTGTCAGCAAAGTGCTTTACCATTGAGCCTCCACGGTGGCCAAAAGAGACAAGTTACAATAATAACAATAATAATTGTCATCTTTATAATTCTTAAATATGGTCTTCTGATGGGGTTGTGTGAGACAAAGTAAAACTTAATAACTAAACTCAATCTACTGGAAGCAGAAAGCAGAAATGGCATAACTCACTGATTTTATTTATTGCACTCTAGGTGCTTTTATAAGTATCTACAAATGTCTTTTACTAACACAAACAGCTGTGGATTTCTACCAACAGAGGCCAACAGAATATGTATTAGCTATGTTTACTCTTTTATAACTGATTCAAATTGAAGACCCTATGTAGGTGAACTTTTTTCCTAACTTCAGCGTATGAGATTAATTTTTGGGTGGGCGGGGGGGAGCAATAGTTACCTTGGTGAAATATTTGAGATCTCTTTGTGGTAATTGGGGGATCCGTTGTGTGTTAGAGTGTATTTTAATCCTCCTGTATTATCGTGGCAGAAAAACTGTGCTGTTAATGTAGTTGGCAACAAGATGCCTTTGGAAACTTAATAGTAGGTCAATGTGTTTATGGAATATTATGAATTCCTAGGAAATTTTGTTCTATATATTCAAACATTATTTGATTTTCATTAGTGAACAACAGAATTAGCTCAGGCTTGTCAGGAACTCAAATGAGTCATATTTTTTCTTGGATCCATCTGAGACACTAAAATCAATTTAAAAAAAAAATCCACCATCTTTAAGTGCAGTGAAATTCAGACATGAAAAGTCATAAATTGGCATGGAGCAACTTTTTCTCTTAGTTTCTATGAAGTTTCAGTTATTGGGTTAACCTACTTCAAACCTTAACGCATTCAGATCTACATAAACCAGTCCCATTACTGTGTTGCATGGATGTCTATAATATACATGCATATACATTTGAAAATAACAAAGGAACAAAGGTTACTATTGGAACATAAAAGACAAAAAAAGATTCCAGCACTTTCTTGGTAGCTTGTATACGTTTGTCCATACACACATGTATAAAACATACCATTATAAACATGTCAGTGAAACCTCATCTAATGATTTTATAGTGACATGCATGTTCAATGTATGAGGAAAATATTTACCAATGTATTGTCCTTTGATTCTTAAAATATAAATACTATACATGCCAGAAGCTATTCTAATGTAACTATTAACATAACTATTAAAATGAGGTTTCACTGTACATTCATACTATGGTTAGATTCCACCTTCTAGGACATGTATATGGATAAAGATTGAAATGCACAGAGAATAAGCCCTCATATTCTTGCTTTAAGTTGCAGCCAAGTTACCACTTATTCACTACTATCATAACCACCAAAATTTTCAGAAAACAGTTGTTGACTACTAAAAAGTAATCAGTGGATAGGTCTTTTTCTTGGAGCAGTGAGCACAGTAATGTGATTATATCTGGAAGAATATCTAAGTTGTACAGCTGTATCCTCCTCAAAATCCGGTGAAGAATGCTATTTTTCTAGGCTGAGCTTTTGTTATAAACCTAATATTCGGAAGGCAAGAGTTACAATCCCGATGTGTCTTTTTTCTTTTTTTGCGTTTGTTAATTATGAATGTATTTTTAACAGAGTGATTTTTTTGACTTACTAGTGTAATTTGCATTTTAAAAATAAATGGCAAAACAATTAAGTTTCTGAGCCATCCCTGAAAGCTGCTAATCTTTCTCACAGTGTACTTGATCATTGATAGGAAATCCTATTAAATTTACATGAAGGCAATTCCGATGTCCCATGCCACATAGGGATGTGTCAGCAATAAAAAGAAAATGCCAGGTCATGGCACCGTTTTAGCTCAGTCATATAGGTAACACATACTTTCATTATCTCCTGACACTAAGGATTTTTTTGTTTTACAAAACTGCCTGGAATAGACTTGCTGTCATTTGGAGAGATTTTTTTTTTCCACCTCTATCTGGAATTTAGTGTTAGCATCAGGCTAATAGCTGACAGAGGTGTTAGGGCACTATATTAAAAATCTTTGGTTAACATAGGTAGAGTTTTTCATTTTTCGTACACCAAATTATTTAAAATACAATAACTTAAAATGCTCATTTATTGCCCCTTTGATGACATAGTCTTTGATGGTAACTAGAGTGAAGCATGTTGGGGTAAGGTAGGCGAATAGAAAACATTAACCCCTGGCATTTTTGATTGTCTAACCATAATTTCAGCTAAGGTTCACTATGGACTAGAAAAGATAGAAGGCAGCAGACTTGAGCTGCTGGAAGGGTTGTAGCCTTTCTCTCACTGTACACAGATACACACCAACCCCCAGGAGCTGAAATGCCAAAATGGATGAAAACAAGGAGGTCTTTGAGGCAGCATTTCAAGAAGCGGAAAATCAACTTGCAGTACTTGACTTCCTGGCCACATGGTGAGAGCCTTGTAAAGAACCAAAGCTGTTTTTGCTTTTGCCCCTTGCGTGAAAAGTATGCTGAAGCAGGTACATTTAAAGTGTGGATAACTGTCAGGTTGTTGCTTGACACTGGGAGGTCAAATGCACACAACATCTCAGTTGAACCTAAAGAAACAAAAGTTAATAGAGCAACTATATATATGTATGTATGTATGTACGTATGTATGTATGTATGTATGTATGTATATGAAAGAAAAGATTCCTTCTTCTGGAGTTCTCAATTAAATAATCTTTGCGTTTGGTAAATAACAGTACCAAGATCTTCATTTGGTAACTATTAAAAAATAAACTCTGATACAGAGAAGCAGATACCTAACAATCCACTGTTCTATAACAAGTGGACAATTTAAACTCAGAAATACAAATTCATTTTAAATAGGTCACATTATAGGACAGACTTTCGAGAGCCAACCCATTTATTACAGAGACAGCAAACTAAGGCCCTTATAGGCAAGAAATTACTCAAGATTACCATATTTCCAGAAAATGCAAAAAACTCAATATTCTACAATAAATTCTAGTATCTGTACTACGGTCAGAATAGAATAAAACTAATCCCAGACATAATCAACTGACCCTGGACTGTATATTGTACATTAGGCTCAGCATAATGTCAATATTAAATATGTTTTATGTTATACTTTTTTAAAAAACCATAACATACCCATATGCAAACATATATATACATATATATGTACACATATATACATATGTACGTGTTCTATATTAGTCAACTATGTTCAGTTTCAGGGTTAGAAAATTTTCTGTTATTTTATAATGCATTTATGAATAGCTAATATTAGAGAGATTAAGTTAGCCTAAACTGACCCTCTTGAATACTTCCTATGATTGTCAAGATAATCTTTCTTCAGACATTTTTTCTGTCTTTGGTAAAATTTCCACACTCAACACTTATACTAGGGAAGCTTTGATGTCAAGATCCTTACACTGTAAACAAATGAAGGCTCAGTTATTCTCATCACATGTGAATCTCTGCTTAGGATTTATATTCAATCCTCTTTTCATTGTATTACATCTACCTTCCACTTACTCTCAAGAATGGAAAGAACAAAATCTGTGATTGATAGATTACGTCCAATTTTAAACAGACTGGCATCTTGAAACAATCACTTTTGATAGCTTTGGAAGCAAAATTTCTAAGACATCTATGTACTCTATGCCTTTTAATTCAACAAAAATGTGAACCGATAGTACATTCAAGGGTCTCATTTACCAATAAAATCTGCACAAGTATCATGAGTTATGACGGCCAGTGACAACAAAGAAAACAAAGTTGTGTTATTTCTAAAAAGAAAAAAAGCAGATCTTTTTATATTCTCTAGAATTATAAAGGGTTTTTTTAATCCTTAAACATTATAGATTTTAGAAACAAATGAGCTTAAAATTTTGATGGGTAATGAAAGTTTGATTTCTGTAAGATAATTTAGAAAGAAAAAATTATTTTATAAGCCACATGTGGATGCTCTGACACAGTCTAAATTGTTCTGAAAATTAATGTAAGCTTTTTCTATAATGAGAGTACAGAATTTTGGCACTTTAATAATAAAACAGGTATATATTTTAACCTCTCATTCTATCCTCATATAAATTTAAGCTGTAACAGCAAGGGAATAAAACAACTCCCAAAAAAGATTGCAAATTGATGCTGTCACCCCAAGGATGATGGATTGATTCAATTAATCAGTAAGTCTTTTCTAAGAGTCCTTCAGGGAGTTATTTACCAGAGGCATACCCTGTTTATTCTCCTCCCATGTGCCTGTCATTTTTCTTCATTATTCTTCTAGTTTTACTCATTATATCCTTTGGGGATATGTTGATCTCCTTGTGCAGAGAGGGTTTGCACACAGCTGTCTAGACATAAATCTTCCAAGCCCAAACTGGAGGCCACCGGAACACCTGTGCCTCTTGTCATTGTCATCTCAGGCTGAGCAAGACTCAGGGTGAAGTCAGACAAATGGACGCTGAGTTACAAATGATAAGTCACTGAGAAAGCATCAAATTGAGTGAAGACTATGAAAAATCCTGCATTGGTAAGGATGTAACAACCTTGTGCTACACACACCATGGAACTAGCCTTCCAATCTCCAAAAGCAGGTAGGTAGGGAAGAGCCAGAGGGCTGAGAGGTTGGGGCCTATACTTGTAATCCATGGGAAAACAAAATGCATTTGGCAATTGCATTGTTTTGAGTGCTGAAAGGTTAATAGTTTTAAAAATGAAATATTTCTATTTCTAATGGGCAAAATTATCTGTCAGTTCAAGTAGTAAAGAGTAAAGATTCAAGAAGAAGATGTCTGGAGAACCTCAAGATTAAATCCTGCTATTGGGGTTAGCTACATAGCTTGTGCGGCCCACTGCAAAATGACAACATGGGGGCCCTTGTTCAAAGAGTAGGAAAGAAGTGCTATTAACGGTACTAAATATAAAAATTCATTTTAAAATATTTATTTTTAATCAATATAAATGAATGTAATATCAGTCACTCTTGGCAAATGCATCACAACTGATTTTTTATAATTTTCAATTTTGAGAAGCATCTTCCTGCCAATGTAACTGTTACTGGAGCTATGAAGAATATTTTATAAATGGTGAAAACATTGGGATAAATTTCTTGATAAATTATTTTGAAATATAAATAAATTTCTCTCATTTGAGTTAATAGTTCACAGAATCATTTTTCTTAAAAGATTTAACTCTTCATAAAATCAGTTTCATGTAAGTCTAAATTTAATTTTAAATAAAAACTATACAGTAGCATTTTAGTGTTTTTCTCTGCCATTTCCTGCAACTTGTGGAGGTTTTTCAAGAGGCCAAAAAATGGCTTTATGATTTCTATACAATTGAAAACACCTAAATATGTATTCTATTGCTGTGTATTCAATTACAAAAAATAATTTAAAAATTGTCTTTCTCAATAATTTGTTCATCGGAAGCATCATATGAAAATAGAATTTTCAGTCTACTGCTAATGCTACAGTCTTTAAGTTTAATTTCTATTTGTAAGCCTGTGGACATTTGTTTTACAATGTCACAGTAGTTTTAAAAACCAGAGACTCTAAACTCTTTGAAGAATTCTATTAACTCTAATAACTCTTATATTCTCTATTGTAATGTCTGGGTAGGCTTTTATCTTGTAGTTATTTACTGACAAAGTTTATTGCCTGAGCACCAGCAATTCCTGTCCCAACACAAAGCCAGAGTTAATATTTGTGCAGAAGCTGCAGAGACTGGCTCCCTTGGAGAATTAATAGATAGGCTGGTCCCCTACAGTTCTCAGGGCTGCGGAGGCCCCCCGCCCGCCCCTCTCCCTCCCCCCGCCCCCTGGGTACAGCTGCCACTTCTGCTGTTGCAGTTGCTGCTGCTGCTGTCACCACTGCCAGTCTGGTCCCAGGTCTCTCTGTCAGCCCAGTGGCTCCTCCAGTTGCCCTGAGGCAAGCCAGGCCAATTGTCCTGTACATTGCACGCTGCGCCCAGGGGCCTGAGACAGTGTCACTGGGTACAAATGCTAAATCACAAACATTCTCATGGGCTGTCACTCCAGGGCATCTTCTCTGCTCACCACATGCTCAAAAATGATATATTAAGATTTTCATGAAGAAGATTGTAAAACCTTATACCAAGCATCAAACTCCTCTTAGTGTGGGGACTATTGTGGAATGGCACATGTCACATGCCCACAAAGTTAGCCTTGCTTGCTATAGAAGCCAAGAGTAAAATATTCTTCTATATCTACCCTCACTTCAAACTTACTCTAATTCTTACTGAAATAAACAGAATTAGGACATATTTCACTTTTTATTAAAAATAATCCTGGGATTTTTTTCTAAAAATGAAAGAATAATTATGTTTTAAAAAATAATAAAACACAAAAAGAATAGATTGGATACCTTGGATACCAAAGCCAATGAGTATTTTCAGACCTTCCAATGAATTGGATCAAATATCTGCTGATATGCATAATCGGTCGGGTTTTTATTACACTTCTATTAAAGAAGACTTTTATTGGCATACTGAAATCCATCATGGTGCATGAGCACTAACATTTTATAGCTATAATTCAATCTGGAAACCCAAGTTTAAGAATAAATTTTAAGAATAACAGCAAGGCTTGTTACCCAGTCCCTCCCACTAAATTTCTAAATCAAGAATTCTTGAGGATAGTGATAGTATATATCCAACACAGTTAAAATAAGATAGATATATTGTTAAAATGCATTTAGACACTAAAAATATATCTAATTATAATGCATTGTGAATCAAGATTCCATGTATCAAAAGAGTAAATTGAAATTACTTTACTTAATATACTTTACTTAATATAGGCATATTTTTCCTTTATGTTTCTCTATGTGGGTATATATTGGAAGCAGTAGAGTAGCAAAATCCTCTCCGTTACACCTTTTTCTATTTTTCAACATTCTGCAATGTAAGATAATATTAAAGTTATCATAAGTGCCACACAATATTCTACATAATCACAGTATCTAAGTAAAAGATCCAAATCTCAAACACAGTCTGTTCACAGAGTCCAGAGTTCCAACCTCTAATAAAGTCTCCAGAGAGTAGTATATAGATGTGAGTAACTATGTTTTCTTTTGAGGTCAAAGATCCGTCTCTCTTATTATAGTCAATTCTTATTTATTCGTTCACAGAATATGTAGTTCTGACTCTATTCAAGGAACTTCCTTCCATCCACCCCAAACACATTCTATTAAGGCATAAAATGGGATTTCTTGACAATAGATGCCATTAGGCAGAGGGTGGACCTCAGGGGAAGGCTCTAGAATTATCCTTCCCATGGCTTAAATATTGTCCTATCCTAACCATCGGATCTCTCTCACCAACATTC